CTCCCAGAACTTCACACTTGAGCCAGATATCCTAAAAGGAGTGATTCTTAACCCTTTTTGGGCTACAGACCCCTTTGAGGATCTGGTAAATGATATGAATTATTCTTCAAAAATGTGTGATTGCCCATACATGCAACACACAAACACTTTTTTTTTTGAGACAGAGTCTTGCTCTGTCGCCCACACTGGAGTACAGTGGCATGATCTTGGATCACTGCAACCTCTGCCTCCCAGGTTCAAGCAATTCTCCTGCCTCAGCCTCCCGAGTAGTTAGGATTACAGGCATGTACCACCACATGCAGCTAATTTTTTATATTTGTGGTAGAGATGGGGTTTCACCATGTTGGCCAGGCTGGTCTCGAACTCCTGACCTCAAGTGATCTGCCCACCTTGGCCTTCCAAAGTGCTGGGATGACAGGCGTGAGCTACTGCACCTGACCGACAAACATTCTTTTGAATGAAGTTCCTAGAGTTCATGGATCCTATCAATCCACCACTGACTAGGATAAGAACTTCTACATGGCCGTTAAAAAGCGTAAGATGGTTGTATATGTGCCAATAAGGAAATCTGTTGTGATATATTATTGCATGACAAAAACATGGTACAGAATAATCACTAGAGTAGGATCCCATTTTTTGTGGGGTTGGGGGACAGGGTCTCACTCTGTTGTCCAGGCTGGAGTGCAGTGGCATGATCTTGGCTCACTGCAGCCTCTACTTCCTGGGCTCAAGTGATCCTCTCACCTCAGTTGCCCAAGTAGGTGGGACCACAGGTGTATGCCACCATGCCTGGCTATTTTTTTTTGTACAGACAGGGTCTCTACAAAGAAATGCTAGAATTGTAGGCATGAGCCCCACACTGGCTGATCTATTTTTTTTTTTTTTTTTGAGGTGGAGTCTCACTCTGTCGCCAGGCTGGAGTACAGTGGCACAATCTCGGCTCACTGCAAGCTCCGCCTCCTGGGTTCACGCCATTCTCCTGCCTCAGCCTCCGGACTAGCTGGGACTACAGGCACCCGCCACCACGCCCAGCTAATTTTTGTATTTGTAGTAGAGACGGGGTTTCACTATGTTGGCCAGGATGGTCTCGATCTCCTGACCTCGTGATCCGCCCCCCTTGGCCTCCCAAAGTGCTGGCTGGGATTACAGGCATGAGCCATAGGCCCGGCCTAATCTTACTTTTTTTTGAGACGGAGTCTCACTCTGTCACCCAGGCTGGAGTGTTGTGGTATGATCTTGGCTCACTGCAACCTCCGCCTCCCTGGTTCAAGCAATTCTCTGCCTCAGCCTCTCGAATAGCTGGGATTACAGGTGCCTGCCACCATGCCCAGCTAGTATTTGTATTTTTAGTAGAGACGGGGTTTCACCATCTTGGCCAGAGGCTGGTCTTGAACTCCTGACCTCGTGATTCACCTGCCTCAGCCTCCCAAAGTGCTGGGATTACAGGCGTGAGCCACCGTGCTTGGCCCTGATCTTACTTTTAATTGCAAGCAAATATAGGCTCATTATAAAAGAATTCAAATGATACCAAAAAAAGCAAAAGTCCCCATTTCCCAGTCCTATTCTCAGAGGTAAATGCCCTTTGACAGAAATCTTTTCAGACTTTTAAAATTTCTTTTTTATTTCTATTTTTAACTTTTTGGTAGACATGTGATCTTGCTATGTTGCCCAGGCTGGTCTCCAACTCCTGGCCTCAAGCAGTCCTCCCACCTCAGCCTCCCAAAGTACTGGGATTACAAGCATGAGCTACTGTACCCAGCATGGACTTTTTATGTGTGTATAAACAGGTAGTTGTTTCTTCTATTAAAATGGGATCCTGGTGGGGCAAAGTGGCTCACACCTATAATCCCAGCACTTTGGGAGGCTGCCCGGGAGTTTGAGTCCAGCCTGGGCAACACAGTGAGATCCTGTTTCTACAAAAAATAAAAAATTAGCTGGGTGTGGTGGTGCGTGCCTGAAGTCCCAGCTACTTGGGAAGCTGAGGCAGCAGGGTTGTTTGGGTCTGCAGGGCTGAGGCTGCAGTGAGCTGTGATCATGCCACTGCAAACCAGCCTGGACAACAGAGCAAGATCCTGTCTCAAAAAAAAAAAAAAAGATCAAACAAAAACCTTAAAAAAAAAAACTGCATCAAACTCTGGACCCATGGCCAATCAGCATCCAGATCAGGATGTTCTAGAAGGAGGACGAAGGGAGTGCTGGCACCACCACGTGACACCTCACATACTGGATTCTCCCCAAGAAGCATTGTGGGGGCACAGACTTATTCTGACCCGGTGTGCGGCCTGACCTCTGATGCCGGGCCCACCTCCCGGTCCCCATCCCCTCATCAGAGAACTGTTTCTCCTGCTCTTCCAGCTGAAAACCCTAAAGGACACCACTGCCTTGACGGAAAGGAGGGGCTGTCTGCCCAACCAATGGCAGCTGTGCGGGCTGCCAAAGAGTCATCCCCACTGTATTCTCTGGGGTGGGAAGGAAGTGGTTCTGTGAGTGGCCAGCTCTGGTGGGCTTGAGCTGCAGCTCTGGTGCTGAGAAGTCCACATCTTGTGCTTGGAGCTTTTCCAACTGCCTTGCAGTGGATGGGAGGGGCGAAACATGGAGTATTTATCCTCTTCCACTATATTAGGGTTGTTTACCTTGTTGCCTGGGAAGACTCTGAGGCGCTCAGCAGGGGAACAGCTGAGAAGCCCAGTGACTAAGCTCCCAGCGCTGGGTGCGCGTTTCTTCACACTCTCACACTCTCCTCCCACCACCTCTCAGGAGGGACAGCTGAGCCTTCTCCGGTAGCCTGGAGAGGGGAACTGCAGCTGAGCAGGTCAGGCATGTGGCCTTGGCCTCCAAGTGGAAGACGATGATCCACATTGGCAAGAACTCGGCAAGAACTCAGCACGCACTCAGCACGTGCTGCCAGTCGGGGGTGGTGAGAGCAGAGTTTTCGTATTTGACACAGTGTGTCTCAAGTTTGGGGTGGTACCTGCAGATAGTCCCCTCACCCGTCTCACCATCCAGCCCAAGGACACACCAGGGAAGCTGGGTTCATTCACATCCCAGTTGTCTCCTCTCCCCTTAAGGCCACAGGCACCCCGGACGGTGGTGGCCGTGTCTGCTCTGAATGGGGCCAGTGTGTGCCGGGCTTTTGTGCTCTGGCTACAGTGAGCATTTCCTGTGTCAGGTTGGTGCTCCAAAAGTTTTGGACTTTGGAGCACTTCAGATTTTGGGTTTTCAGATTGCGGATGCTCTACCTGTATTTGTTGCTTTCCTTTTGGAGATGGGAGCGTCTCTGACATAAGCCACTTGAAACAAGGTCTCTCTCTGAGCTTACTTCACCCTGCCCAAAGGGCCAAGGGGATGGTCCACAGACACGCGCCTTAGGTCCTGGTGCTGGCTTTGAGGCTGAGAGCTTTGACTGGCGACAAGGTGGCTTCCAATCAAGGTGATCCAAGAGTCAGGGGTGGGGGAAAGGTTGGTGACGGGGAGAAGGACTGACACCCGTGAGGCCTGTGGGTCTGCAGCCGCCACTGATGCTCCCTCTGGGCCCGGACAGTGTAATCTGACAGGAGGAGGCCTCAGCTCCAGGCCCAGCACGCCACACCGTCCTCTCTGCTCTCCACTTCTAACACCAGTGAGATGAAGGGGTGGGAGAGGTGATTCCTGTCTTCTGTCTCTACTCAAAACTCTAGGACAACAAGTCTATCTTCTTTCCTCTTCTTCCTGAAGAGTGGCTGAAAGCCGAACTCTCAGGTCAGACAGACCTGGTCTGAATCAGGGCTCTGCCACCAGGCCATTGACTTCCTGTCTTGCCAAGCTTGATTTCCCCACCAAGTCTGTCTTGTAGGACTGCGGCACACCTGGCCAACAGGGCAGAGCTCCGACTCCCACTGAGACTGGCCTCCCGCTGGAAGCGCCTGACAGGTGGAGACTACTGCTTTCCCCATCATCTGGCCCAGGTCGGGGGCGGCCCCGTATGTGGTTCAGGGGTTTTACCTCAGTGTGAATTTCATGACGCTCCAACCATCTTCCATGTTGGGACTTGCCCCTCAGGGCCCTGGCTATATTGAGACACCGAGGCCGCGTGCGTCCTCTCACACTGCCTCTCACATACACACATGCCAAGGGCAGCGGCCAGGCCAGGACACGTGACAGGCTGCTCCCTTCCAGTTCCAGCCGACCTCAGGTGGCCAGTGACAGCCAAATTCTGTTCACAAGTCAGACCCACAGTCACCCTGCGACTGTCCTTGACAGAAAGCAGAAGGAACACACCAGGCCCCCTTCCTGGCTTCCCTCTTCACTCAGCCCCTGAGCCCTGGCATACCTTTTTGACAGCGCACTGGAAGCCAGTCTGCTTGTCCTCCATCCTGTGCACCTCTCCGAAGGAGCCTCTGCCCAGGCGGGGCTGGTGTGTGGCCCAGTGGACTTCTTCTCGGTACTCATAATCCACTGGCTTGAGTTTCTGGGGTTGGCAGGAGAGAGAGGCCAGTTTTAGTGGCCAGGGCAGCAGAGGGCTACAGGGCTACAATGAGGAAGGCCCTCCAGCTAGTGACCTTGCCAGGGCTGCTGAGCTGAGCCCTCACAACCAGGCAGCCCTGGGGCGAAGACGGGGATCTGGGCTGGGCAGCCCCAGAGAGGGGGTAGAGGAATGAGGTGAAGGCGAGGGAGGGGTTCATGGGCTGCAGCCACTGATCCTTGTGATGAAAAACATCCCAGACTTGTGATGGTGAAACAGAAACAGAACTGCCAATCACCTTGACAATGAAAAAACAAAACTCAGGAGCTAGGTGGAGGGAAGGGAGGAACAGTGAAGAGGGGCCGGGGTCAAGGATGATGTTAAAAGAGGATGGAGGGGCCGGGCATGGTGGCTCACACCTGTAATCCCAGCACTTTGGGAGGCCAAGGTGGGCGGATCACTCAAGGTCAGGAGTTTGAGACCAGCCTGGCCAACATGGTGAAACCCTGTCTCTACCAAAAAATACAAAATTAGCCCAGCATGGTGGTGCATACCTGTAGTCCCAGCTACTCGGGAGGCTGAAGTGGGAGAATCACTTGAACCCGGAAGGGGGAGGATGCAGTAAGCTGATATAGTGCCACTACACTCCAGCCTGGGCGACAGAGTAAGACTCTGTCTCAAAACAAAACAAAACAAAAAATTAAAAAATTAAAAAGTGGATGGAATAAGACGGTGCAGTGGCTCACACCTATAATCCCAGCACTTCTGGAGGCCAATGTGTGAGGACTGCTTTAGCCCAGGAGTTTGAGACCAGCCTGGGCAACACAGCAAGACCTCATCTCTACTAAAAAAAGAAAATAGCTGGGCGTGGTGGTACGCGCTTGTAGTCCCAGCTACTCGGGGGGCTGAGGCAGGAGGATTGCTTGAACCCAGGAGATGGAGGCTGTAGTGAGCTATGATTGTACCACTGTACTCTAGCCTGGGTGACAGAGTGAGACTCTGTCTCAAAAAACAATTTATTAAAGAAAAAAAAAAAAAAAGTGGATGGATGGAATAAAACCCAGAAATCAAAGTGTGATAAAATCATTCAAAGTTATACACTTATTTGGGAAGTGAACAAGAGGAAAAAGGGAAGGAGGTGGGTGGTGAAAACAGGTCCTATCCTCATCTTCCGTCTCTGGGGGCCATGATAACATCTCCAGTGGCTCCCAGCTGATTCCCCTTGTCCTCAGCATGTGTATTATTCATGCAGTGCCCGCATTCAGCAAGCAGGAGGTGACCAACCAGAAGAACTCAGAAGACGCTAAAAAGGCTGTGAAAAGTGAGGTTGGCAGCGTAACAGATGACACTTTTCATCCACAGTGAGCACTATCCTACTGTTTGATTTGTCACCACAGATAAGAGTGACTCTGACTCTGATAAAGAGAGAAAAGCATCCCCCAGGTTGCTGGTGGAGGGACGTATACAGGTGCTGGGGGATTAGTTACCTCAGTGAGCAGGACGCCCTCATTGTCCTCAGTTTTGGGGCTGGGCTCCCGGGGTCTGGAGCCCCCTGCTGCCCAGGTCTTGGCCAGGCTGGTCAGGCTGTGGGCCTGGCCTGAGCTCACGCTGCCTTGCAGAGCATGCACCAGGTATTCCTCCACAGAAAACTTCTCATGGGCACCACGAGACGGGCAGCTGGGCTCCAGGTGTGGGCCAGGCAGGGGCTTTGGACTGTCTACACAGGCCAGTTTGCTCAGGTGTGGGTGAGGCAAGGGTTGCTGGCTGTCTACACAGGCCAGTTTGCCCAGGAAGGACTCTAGAGGGTGAGGTTTCCAGGGCTGGAGAGGGTGGAATGGGAAGGGATGAGGCAGTCTGCTATAGGGGAAGGGGTGCGTGGGCAGGGGCAGGGGGCCTCCGTCCTGGGGGTGGTGCAGTTTCCACACGTGGTTCAGACATTGCAAGGGGCTGATCAGTTTGTGGAGTTCCGATCGAGGCAGAGCTGGTCGCAGGCCCTCGCCAAGCTGCTTAAAACAGAGTTGACCAAGGCCTGGTTCCTTCAGAGGCTTGGTGAACTGCGGGGTGTTTCTCACATATGGGGCGCCGAGTGGAGACTCATCCTCCTGTGGAGAGAAACACAGCTGTCAGCACAGAGGGCCAGGGCCAAGGCACAGGCTCCAATTCCAAGGCCCCATGAACCTGCGGTCTGGGCAGTGGGTGGAGGGTCTCACCTGCACTGGGATGGTGCAGCTCTCCTGCTCAGGGGTCCTGGGGAGGGGTTTGGCCAAGGCCACTCCTGCATGAGCCAGGGACTTTGAGCTCTTCTTCTTCCGTTTCTTCCGGGCTTTGCTACGACGCTTTCCCTTCCAACACACACGGGCCATTTTGCCCTCGGTAGCATGGGCCACATTGTTGGGGATCTGATCAAGACTCTCAGACTGGCTGTCAAAAAAGGGACAGATTTGCATATTGAGCACAAGGAGGCAGGAAGAGGCAATGGCCCAGACACTTGTATCTGGACTCCTGCAGATCCAAGGTCAAATCCCAGCTTGCCATTACTTGTGTGAATGCGGCCAAGTTTCTAAATCCCAAGGAACCTCAGTTTTCTCACTTATAAAATGGGTTTGGTATTTTCTGCCATGCAGGGTGGAAATGAGGTTTCAATAATTTAGTTCATTTAAAAAGCCCAGCTCAGTGTCTGGTCCCAAGGCAAGTTGCCAAGAAGCTGTGCTTGTTACTATGGTGATGGGGTACAGACTCAGCACTTCTTGGGGAGAGTTGGGGGAGGAGACACGGTTTGCTCACTGCTCTCCAAGGTCAGCTGCCCCTGGAGAGTTCCCAGGAGGGGGCCAGGCTCATGGCAGGCCTCTCAGCTCTGATTGAGCAGAGCTTGTTTCTGTTGCCTCCGGATGGAGGAACAGGTAAGGCTGGTCACCTCCACTCTCACGGTTCCTGGGGGTCCCTGGCTGCTGCTGAAGGTGACACCCTGGGCTGCTGCCTGGTACCGGGGAGCCTGCCCTTCTCTGCTGGCCTCAGGGCTCATCACTGCCATGGCTCTAACTGGACTGGGGTCCCTGCCAAGTATGAAAGGACCTGGCAACAGATGGGTTGCTGCAACAGCTGTGGAGGAGATCATGGCCTCAGCCACCCTCCCTTGGCCTCATCTTCTGTCCCCACAGAGGAGGCAGACTCATGGTAGTCCTGGGGACCACTGGAAGCCTACAGGCTTCTCTTGGACAGCTGAAAGAAGTATGTCTATCAAAGGCTCCTACCCTGGGCCAAAAGGCACCCAGGACAGCAGAAGGAATCCCACCAGATTCTAAGCCTTTCCTGGTTCCAAGGCAGCTGCCCTCCCCACAATCTTATCACTAGCAGGTTCCAAACTCCAGTGATACAAAAACCCGCCTGGTGATAGGGGAGGGAGCTTGAACTCTTTTTTCTTTTTTTTTTTCCCAGACAGAATCTCACTCTGTCACCAGGCTGGAGTGCAGTGGTGTGATCTCGGCTCACTGCAACCTCCAACTCCCGGATTCAAGTGATTCTCCTCCCTCAGCCTCCCAAGTAGCTCAGATTACAGGCATGCACTATCATGCCCAGCTAATTTTTGTATTTTTAGTAGAGATGGAGTTTCACCATGTTGGTCAGGATGGTCTCGATCTCCTGACCTCGTGATCCACCCGCCTCAGCCTCCCAAAGTGCTGGGATTACAGGCGAGAGCCATCACGCCCGGCGCTTGAACTCGTTTCAAAAAATCATCTGTGGGGGAATGCAGAACCTGGGAACAGACTGAGCCCCACCCTGGCTTCCTTTCTACTGGGCCACCAAGTCTATCTGTCCCCTCCTTTTCTACCGCCCGCATCCCTACTTGGTGCATCTCCCAGGAGAAAAGGCACCAGCAGGTTTCTCACATAGAGGACAGTAAAAGGCCCCCTGACCAACCCGAACTGCGCTCACAGTCACGCAAGAGTGGGAAGCAGCTTCTGTTCCCAGTACCCTCCCTGTTGATGGGAAACGAGGAGGTGCATTAAGGACTCTGAGGAGAATAAAAATAAAACGTCAAGTTGATGTGGCCCAGAGGCAGTCAGCCACAAGCTGTGAAAAGCCTTTGAAAAGCTTATTTGGCTGAGAGAGCGGCTCAGCCAGGAAAGCCTGGGCGAGTTCCAGGAGCTGAACCACAGGTGCTGAGGGAGGGAGCCCGGGGTCAGCAGGAGCGGCCCAGGCAAGCGCTGGGGACGAGGACGCTGGGTCCAGTCCCCGCCTTCCCACTCAGGCTTGTCTCCCCTGCTTACCTGTACTGTTTGGACCCAGCGATGAAAATGCGTTCTGAAAAGGTGGGGCTGAACTCCTGGCTATTCTCACCTAAAGCAAAAGGAGTTAGATTAGCAGAGAGGAGAAAAAATAGGAATTCAGCACTTAGGGGAGAGACATTTTACAGAGATCCCCTCTGGCGCCTCTCCTTCCCCTCCATTCCAGACAACCCCTGTCTGGCAGTCACCTCCCCACCAATGCCTCCTTCCCGCACTGTCTCCCCAGCTTCTCAGCTTATGGTCAAGAGCAGACCATGGCCTCAGCCACCTGCTCTGAAATAGCCATGCCTATAATATGGGGATCATAGGGCGCCTGCCTCACGTCCTGTGAAGCTGAAGTGAGGTGATCTACAGAAAACGCTCAACACAGTGCCTGGCTCATAGGAAAAACAGCTCAGTAAATACCAGCTATTAGGTATTTATATACGTATGTACATATAAGTGTGGATATATGTGTGTGTATTTTTTTTTTAAATTATGTCACTCACTGCATTTTAGTTTTTATTCTCTCATGTCTCCTCAAAAACCAACCAGGAGGAAGTGGGAGACAAGGGCAGGATGTGTGCGTGTGGAGAAACGCCAGCACGGCTGTCTAGCTCTCCAGGTTCCACCACAAGAAGCCTACTGGGTTGAGGGAAGGTGTTGGAGAGAGAGGACTCCCGGCCCTACCCAGGCCTCGTGGGAGTTTCTGTCTCCAAGGGAAGCCACCATTACTAGTCATCATAAGGTATCATAAGTAGAAGCAGAAAGGACCAGACCAGGCCTCACCCTGCCATGGCCTGCCGCCCCAGGACTGGCCCAGCAGGCTCAAGAGCACGGTGCTCATTCCTGGGGGTGGGGCCATCTCTAGGTGGAAGATGGTGAAGGCCCTACAGGCCCCAGTGGGGCTTTCCAGGAGACCTGGCCTTTCCTGTCTGGAGCCTCTCCAGATACTCGGGCTGCTCAAGGTCACAGCAGAAGGTTGATGGACTGCTTGATGATTCTGCAGAGAGTCCCGAGCGCTGTCTGTTACCTCTCTTCCCCTGCTCCAGTCATGATGGACACAGCCTCCCCTTGCCACATTCACCATCTGTGCACTTTTACAACCCCACGTTCCATGATTCTCGGCATAGACCTCTGGTTGTGTCTTGTGAGAATCTTATCTAGCAGTGGCACGGACCTGTCTCCTCCATAGGGAACCCCTGGGCCCAGTTACCCACCTGCAGGCCCACCCACCTGCCCCGTGCCCACAAAAACCCCAGGCCCCTACACTCAGCCTGGGCGATGATAGAGATGGCAGCTGGCCCTGCCTCGGAGCCTTCCTTGGCTGTGCCCTTGGTAATCACGTCGTTCAGGATCTCCCACTTTCCGCAGAACACAGGGCTCTTCTCCACGGCCTCAAGCTTGTAGACGGAGCTCTGTTTCTTCCCCAGTGGCGGCGTCTTCTCCTTGGCTTTGGGGAGTTCCTTCTGCTGCCCCACTGCTGAGCCAGGGGCGCCTGGGCAGGCCATTTCCATCACTGCCATCTCCCAGGCTTGTGCTCACCCTGAGAGAGACCAAACACAGAGCAGGTCACTTAGAATCCCAGACCTGGGAGAACACAGGTCAGCCTTGGGTGGGGGAGAAAGGCAGGGGCAAAGGCTCTCTGCCTCTTTATGTATGCCTCTGCCACCCATACTCACCCTCCAAACATTCTCAGTGGTAAGACTCAACCTCTCAACATCTACACATGTTCCACATGGCACAGGCCCCCGGTCCTCCCAGCACCACAACATAAACAGCTTCTTCCACTGCGTCCAGCAAGGATGCCAGCCAACTCCCTCTAGGACAGCTGTGGCACAAATGTCTGGGTCGGCTCTTTCTTGCCTTTATGGTGGCTGAATCTTTTTCTGTTGTTTGTTTTATGGCAAACTTTGCTTCCCCAGGACAGGGTGGTGAATCCCAAACTCCAAAACCATGGCCTCACCGACCCCACATAAGCCTTTGGAGAGGGCCTGTTGACATACACCATCCACAGTGACTTTTCTCCAAGGGAGAGAAGCAAGGTTCTATTCTGTTCCCTAGTGGGAGGTAGATATGTGTGTGTGTGTGTGTGTCCTACAAAGTCTAAAACTCAGCATGCAAATGGTGCTCAGCACGTGGTTCCTTGCCCAATGCGTCTGTTTGCGGCTCTCCAGAAGGAACTAACATGCTTCCTCCTCTAACGTCCAGACTCATTGGCTGAAAACTTCTAGGTATCATTTTTCGTTCAGGCAACATCAGGAGTAGAATTTATACTAAAGGCCCTAACACCAACCTATACCTCTAGAAATAAAGAACAAAGCACAAGAATTCACCTCTCTCTGGGTTCTGTCTTGGCCAGCCCTAGGAAGCTGCAAAGAAGAGCAAACCAGAGTTGCCAACAATCTGTGCAAACAGCCTGCAGACTGGAATTGGCAAAAAAGAGAAGAGCACTGATTTGAGACTGTTACCATTTGGAAACCTTTTTAAAGACTGGGAGTTTTTAAAGGGCAGGGCCCCTCTCAGGCATGACTTGCCTTAGAAACAGCCTGAGAAGGTCCCAAATGCAGAGAGATTTTTAATAACTGCTCTCTGATGGTAGGTTTGTCTTAAAGCTGCTACTAACAGAAATCATCTTCCTTGCGGTAACTCTCTGAACCCTGGATCACGACTCTGCTTCTGGGGCAGACAGGCACACCACCTGAAGCTGAACTCTAAGGCCTCTGGCCTTTTGCCCTGTGAGGCCTGAGGACTGAATGAGATGGTGGGAAACTGAGGTACTAAATTGAACCCTTTCTCCTTCTGAATCTGCCTCACTGGTCTTCCCACCTTGATGGCTCTGAAAGGCTCTGCCAGCTTGGCTGGGGTGTGTGGTGGGGTTTGTTGTTCGCCATTGATTAGTCCCTTGCATCTCTGTCTTCAAGGGTCTCCTAGCTCTGAACTCGGAGTAGTTCCAGCTTCCTGCAAGGATGCCTGGATTTGGTTCCAAACGCCAGATGCTGAGGAGGCCGAATGGGTGGCCTCACTGTTACCTGAGGATCTTAAGAAGTCTGAGGGGGCTGGGCACGGTGGCCCATGCCTAAAATCCCAGCACTTTGGGAGAATGAGGCAGGAGGATTACTGGAGCCCAGGAGTTCAAGATCAGCCTGGGCAACATGGTGGAACCCCGTCTCTACAAAAAATACAAAAAATCAGCTGGGGTGGTGGCATGTGCCGTAGTCCCAGCAACTCTAGAGGCTGCAGTGGGAGGAATGCTTGAACCCAGGAGGCTGAGGCTGCAGTGAGTTGAGATTGCACCATTGCATTCTCCAGCCTGAGTGACAGAACAAGACCCTGTCTCTAAAAGAAAAAAAAAAAAGTCTAAAGGGTGTTCTGAATCCAATTAGGCAAAAGCCCTTCAAGGCCGGCTATACCTCTTGTAACAGTACTTTCATCCCACCTCACATCTCCCCACCCCACTCGACCTCCAGAAAAGAAACTGACCTAAGCCCAGAGCCGATCCCACCTTTCTCAGCCTCTTTACCAGGGGAAACGAGATCTTAAGAACAGACCAAAAAGTCTCCAAACCTAACAGCAGTAGGGAGCGCTCACAGGGAGCTCGATGTGACCTTGACCTCCTCCTTTCTATCTGAAGAAGCTGAGGCCTAATTCAGTGGAGACTTGTCCAAGGTCACCCAACCCACGTGTGACAGGGCATGGCCAGGACCCAGACCCTAGGATCTTTAGGCTATGATGCCCACTCCCCAAGCTCCTGCGTTACAGGCGAATGCAGAAGGGGACACAAAGGTCCTCCCTGGTCAAGAAGCCCTGGGGCTTCTTGCTGGAGTGAAGAGGCTCCTGAGGGCAGAGGTGAGGCCCTGCACACAGTGCCTCCCCAGTGTATAGCACAGGGGCCACAGACTAGGCAACTGACGCTGGCTGAATGAGGGACTCAAAGGACAAAGATTGCTTTTCCATAACCTTTGGAGACAGGATGATCCTGAATGCTGAGGAGGAAGAGAGAGTCCTGCCTGATGAATGAGAAAAATGAGGCCAGGTGGTATAGCTGCTGCTCTGAGGGTGCGTGGCTATTAGAGATCTGGCTGTGTGGGGGCTCTGATAGCCTGTCCCTGCCTGGCATGGCCCAATGGAGGCTTCTGGATAGGTCATCCTGAGCTAGAACTCCTCCAAAGAGGGTGCAGGGCATCCCGAGTCCCAGAGCTGTCCTTTCATATTGGTGTTGGGGAGGCAGCTGTCCAGGGCCCCAGTCGCCCCTCTGTGGGCACACCAGGCTCCCCTCTTCCCAGAGAAGTGGAAGCTGAGGCTGAAGCAGCCATGCTCAGAGCCTCCTCTGCAGTTCCCCGATGACTCATCCAACAGCCTGGCAGGCAGACAGTAACAAGGAGGCTGTTGAGAAGCTGACCCAGCAGATGGCAGCTGAACTTGTGAAGGGCATGGGGAAAACAGGCTGACCCTCACCTCCCAGGGGCACAAATCACGGCCTGGGAGCTGTAAAGCTCCTCCTGTGGCTGGCTTTTCTGTGCCACATCACCATGACTCAGACCCTCACTGACAGCCTCCAAGTTCAAGAGGCTATTCTTGGGACACTCTGGCCTGACAGTGGCTCTCCCCAAACACCTCCCACACAGACACACATGCACACATACACATGCACACACAGACACATACACATACATATGCACTTGCTCCCTCCCTCCTTCCCTAATTCTATCTGGGCTCTCGTCTACAAAAATCATGGTTCTGTATTAAGCCCAGGACTACTGGCTAGGGGGCCTTCCCAGCCCTGGACTTTGGCCTCTGGCTGTCACCCCAGCTCATGGCCCTGCTGCTATGCCCCTTCTCCCTCCTGCAGTGTGTGGGGAGGACGAAGTGGGAGCTAGTTATGTCTCTGCCTTTGAAGGCAAGTCCAACTCCTGATCCATTCCTCAGCCTAGACACTCTCCCCAGCTTCATTCAGGCCCCAAATGTATTGGGTCCTCTGCTCTCTGCATAAGAGTTAAGGACAAGAGTAGTGGCAACAGTCAAACCCACATGGCTCACCCATAAGCCCATGAAATCAGAAGAGGAAAGGAAAGGAGCAGAATTCACTCCATATTCTTTGAGGCCTGATGCACAGACACTGTTGGTTCTTTCTTCTGTGATGCCTCAGTGACCTCCTGGCAAAGCCTGGGGGATAGGAATGATCTGGATGGTACCAGATCAACCCCTGGGCATAGCTGTATGAGGAGTTCTTAATCTGGGTTCAAGGATGGATTCAGGGAGGAAAATATAATTTGCATTTTTCCAGGGAAGACTTGGTCCACAGCTTTCAACAGATTCTCCAAGGATCTGCCATTCCCCAGAAGGTTGCTCTAGTCTCCCTAGAAGATCAGGGCCAGGCTAAATGCCTGATTCTGGCTCTATTCTTCCACTCCAAGGAACAGCTCTCCAATGCAGCAGTTTCCAATCTGACCACAGATTAGAATAACCAGATAAGTTATTTAAATGCATTCCTCCTAGGCCTGCTGAACCAGAGTCACTGGGCATTAGGCCCAGAATCTGTACTTTGGACAAGTTCTCTGGATGATTCTGATGCCAAAGGACCAGGGACTGCCACCTGACCCCTGCTCTGTACTCAAGGCGACACTGTCCAAAGTGGTAGCCACTAGCACCCTGTGGCTATTTACATTTAATTGAAATGAGGTAAAATTTGAAAATCAGTTCCTCTGTTACACTAGCTACCACACTCAACAGTGCAGACAGAGAACACGTCCATCATTGCAGAAAGTTCTATTGGACGGTGCTGTTCTGAAGTGATAAGAGCGGTGTTTTCTCTGACAGCAAAATTTCTGTTCCTAGGATTCTAGGGCAGGAATGGGGTTTACAGTAAACAAATTTTTGATTCACTGGAAGGTACAAAAGCAATGTTTTAAATGTTAATCTTCAAAGATGATAATCTTTTAAAGAATATATCATATTTCAGTTCCCTGTTTTAGCAAGTACAGCATAGTAAAAATGCCAGACTGGGAACCAGAAGTTATGGGTTCTAGCCTTAACGATTTTTTTTTTTTTAAGAAGAGCAGTGGGACCATTTTTGTCAAATGAAATCATACCTCAACTCCCAATAACTAAAAGAACCAGATGCATGGAACTGGCATGTAACCCACATTTGCAACTGCTGCCCTGGCTGAAGGAGCTCCACATGCTCAGTGTCCCTTCATCCACCGAGGACCTCTACAAAATCCTAGTTCTCCAAGAAAAGAGTTTGGAAACCAGCGGCCTAGGATATCTTTTGAGGTTCCTTCTAGTTCTGAGAATGTAGCCCATCTGTCAGGATTCTCTGAGGGCCAGACAACTCCAATTCAGAACACTAACTGTCGCTATTTACAAATCACCTACCGTCATCTCATTTTCAGACATGAAGATATGGCTTAGGGAAGTTTAGTAGCACACCAAAAATTACGCAGTTGCAGGTTGCAGAGGTGGGGTTGAACCCAGACTGCTGCCTCCTAAGCCGACATCTAAACCTTGAGCTAGCCACTTAACTTCTCTGAGTTTCTTCTCTTAGCTTCTTCAGCGCTGTTTTGAGGACCGAATGAAGAAGAGTACATGAAATGTCGATTGGGTTGCCTGGCCAACAGAAGGGGCTAAATGAATGTTCATTCTCTTGTCTGTCACCAGGCTACTAAAAGCCATCACTGAGATGATGAGACTTCTCTGTTTCAGCACCATATAGCCAAGGTATCTTGAGCCTTACCTAGTTCATGCAACACTT